TTTTTTTTAATTTCCATTTTGGTTTCAAATTTCGATATTTATTTTTTGCAATATCGTTTTTGATTTCGAATATAGATATTCATTTTTTTCAATTTCGGTTTCAAAAATCAGTATTCATTTTTTTAGATTTCGGGTTTAAAATAGAGTGTTATCCATGACTTATAATAATTTCTCAAATTTTAGTAATCAAGCGACAATCTACTGATGTAGGTAGTATATATTTAAATCCATTTTTTTATTACCTATGTTTTTTTTTCTATTTTTTTTATTCAATACAAGTTATTTACAATCTGTTAATTAAAACAACGAGTAAATTTGTTAGCTAGAAAAGATAAAATAAATACACTTGAATGACATGATATCATTGAACATTACCAAGAAAGGAGGAAGAAGACATATTTTTGATGAGGTGGTTGGGATGGTTCAAAAGTATAGCGTGGAATCTTTTATAATATATTTTGGCAAGTTCTGTGAATGTGGGAATTTGGAGGTCTTTTTGAAGAAATTCGTTGGTAAAAAAACCAAGGGGCTCTCGTTAGCATTCTTAGACAAATAGATTAGAAAGCCTGGAGTGGGCATATATTTGAAGGTTTTGCAAAATCCCAAATTTGAATCCCATATGACCAGACGGGTCTAATTGTAGCTTTATAAATTAAAGTTTTATATTTGAGACACATTTTGGATTTCAGGAGAGTTTTTAGAAGGTGAAGACGAGAGTTAGCTTGTTTACGTTTTGATTTTATATGGGGAGTACAATTGAGGCGCTTATCAAGGATGATACCCAAATATTTTGTTGAGGGATGAATTGGGATCGGTTTTTCATTAATTTAGAATTGAGAACATTCATTTCGGCTTAAGGAAAAATTTACTTGTAAAGATTTTTCTTCATTGATTTTTATTTTCCACTTTTTAGCCCATTGGGCAATTTTGTTTAAATGAAGTTGTAAGAGATTAACTGCTATGATTGAATCTTTGTCAGAAGCTAAAATTGCAGTGTCGTCAGCAAATATGGCAAGTAGTGTATTTGAGGATGTAGGTATATCTGAAGTGAATACATTGTAAAGCGCAGGTGATAGGTCACTACCTTGGAGGAACTCCTGCTTCAATATTTTTTATATCCTAGTAAGAATTTAAATATCGTACAACAAATGAGCAGTTTTCAAGGTATGACTTTAATATCTTTAATATTAAATAATAAGGTAAAGGAAAAAATGTCTTGAGTTTAAAAAGTAATCCTTCATACCACACCTGGTCAAAGACTTGGGAAATATCAAGGAAAATTCCTGGGCAGAATTTATTTTGTTCGAGGGAGGTAACTATGTTGTCGGTAATTCGGCGAATCTGTTGAATTATATTATGCTGAGATCTAAAACCGAACTGGCTTTTAGGAAAAATATTATTTTCATGTATTATAGGAGTAATTTTTCAAACAATATACCTAAGGTGAGTAGTAGACTTATTGGCCGATAAGATGAAAGAATTTTTTTAGATTTGTTTGGTTTAGGAACCATAATGATTTCGGAGTGTTTCTAGACTGACGGAAAATTGGACAGTCTAAGTAATGAGTTGTGGATGTAGTTGATGAAGAAAATTGATATTTTTTATAGATAATTTAATAATTTGTTAGTTATTAGATTATTCCCAGGAGCTTTTTTGGGATGCAGTTTTTTTATGATTTATATGATCTCTAGGGGGGTAATAAATTTGGCCGAAAGAGACATTGGTAGTGGGGAGGAAAAAAATTCATGTACATTATTTTCATATAAAGTAGGATGATTTGTGAACTGGTGGGTTGTAAAGGTTTAAATGAGATTTTCACTAAAGCAATTTACTTTTTCAGAGTTAGAAATAGCTAGAGAACCATCAAGTTGAACTAAGGGAGGTACTGTTACCCTTTGGTTGCATAGAGTTTTTGTCATTTTCCAGAGAGAACCATTATTTGTATTTAATGATTCAAGATGAGTTTTGAACTGTTCATTTTTAAAATTAGCTAACTGAAATTTAAGTGCATTTGCTAGTTTGTTGAAGGTGGTTTTGTCTTGAGGATAATTTATCCATTGCCATTTGATCTAGCTCGGCGTTTGGCTTTGAGTAGTTGGACTAGATGAAGAGGAAGAGCATGATAATTTTTGGAATTTGGTACATTTTGGGAGTCGAGGCATTACGAGCTGCATTAACGATTGCTTTGGTTAGTACTTGGATTGAATTATATACGTCTATTTTATTTTTGAGTGAAGAATTTAAAAACAGTGACTCATCGACTTTTTGAGTAAATGAAGCCCAGTTGATAGGACCATGAGTTATTGAAGACTTACAGTTAATGGATGGAGAACCTCCAATCAGCAAAAGTAGTGAAGAGTGTTCACTTGACAAATCATTGAAATTATTGATAGATATGTTTATATTGCTTGGGATGGATGAAAAGAAGAAATCTAGGATGTCAGGTTGCCTCTTTGCATGGGATGGCCAGTAAGTTGATAAATCAGGGTGTATAAATGAAAGGTTTTTTAAAAATGTTTAAAAATTGGAAGGATCTCCAAGTATTGATACTAAGTATGATACAAGTATGATACTACTACCCCAAACCGTGTGTTTGGCCTTGAAATCACCACCAGAGACAAAATTGTTGCCAAGTTTATGGAAATATGATTGAATATTATTTTCCGTAATGTGCTAGCCAGGAGGACAATAGGTTGACGAGATAGTTAGAGAAATATTATTTAGTTTGATAGAAATAATAACAGCTTGAAGATAGGACTCTTGGATAGGGGGTGGTTCAAGGAAAAGTAACGAAGATTGTAGTGCTTGCATAAGATATAGCATCTGGATGGTCAGCTCTGAGAACCTTGAACCCGTGGAGATTTAATTCAGTGTTGGGTGAGAGGTGTATTTCAGTAATTAAAGCAATATCAATATTCTTTTCATGAAGTACATAATATAGTTCGTTTATGTATTGTTTTAATCCATTAGCGTTTCATAGGGTTATTGATAAAGAAGAAGCGATAGTTAAGTTATAAGTCATTTTTTAATAGCAATTTATTGATGACTAGTTAACAGAGAGATAAGTGGATTTATTAGGGACTTGAGGTCATTAATGAAGAATGATAATTGCATTGTTAAATTTTCCGGAGGGCTCAGTTCATCTTGAAAACTAGTTGATGGCTGTTTATTATTTTTTTGAGTGATTTGAGAGTATTAAAGTTGGGGGAAAGTTTTATTAGTTGATTCTGAGATGACTGTAGGATTCGGGTTAGTTTTTACAGATAAATTTGGGTTGTCATTTTTCTTGACTTGATTTTTATTAGAATTGCTGCTCGAATTGGTTTCTGTGGTTTAGGAGATTTTTGAAATGAGGGCAACCTTTATAGTTTGCAGGGTGGCTGCCGGTACAAAGGGCGAATTTGGCTGGTAGATCACGGTTTTTTTGACACAATTCTAAAGTGTGGCAATCGCCACAGCACACACAACGTAATTTACTATTCCAATAAAATTTTGTATGACCATAGTCTTGGAAATTTATGCACTGTGGTGGTTGATTTTTTAATTTGGGAGCTTCGATTTTGATTTTTATGTAGCATAACGAATTTAATTTCAATCACTATTATTTAATGATGGTTTCAGGTCAACAAAAATAGAGGTAGTGGAATTTTTGTTTGGGTTTGGAGGACATTTGTGATATTTCTGACAAGGAATCGATTTTGATTTAATTGCTCTTTTATAAACGTAACCGGCGTTGTTTATTTTTTAAATTTGGAACTAAATTAAATTAAAACCTACTGTTATTAATATAATTAAATCATATCTTTAAAAAAAAAAAAAAATCCTTAGTTACTAAAAACTAAAAATTGTACATTGTGTGTGTGTGTGAAAAAAATGGATCAAACTGGTTTCTATATTTTATCCAACGAGTACATAATGTCAACGTCCGTGCTTAGAGAAAAACTGTTTATATTTTTGAATTAAAATTAAACAACAAGTGACATATTTGGTTTAAGTTAGAAAATAAATTCGCCATTCAATAAGATGCTATGGATTCATAAGTAGCAACTTGCTGCAGGGTAGACGTTTATTGACGTCGTTTATTGAGCGTCTGCAAAGAACGATGTTCACAGATTTCATGAATTCGTGTAGGAAAATGTGACCAAACTTGTTTTGAACACCTTTGAAAAGAGCTTAGGGAACGGACTACCGAAAGATTCAACGGAGTGAATGTCATATCTCTTTGAATGCTTTTCGATGAGCTAAGAAATCTTGGAGATCGTACATTCACCATATTTTAGATATTATTAATGGTACAATAACTGAGTAAAAAACAAAAGGTTTTTTTTTCTCAGCGTTGCTCCTCTGATTTTTGTATATGTAACACTCAATCGTTTTACTACTCTAGTACATTAACGATTTAGCTAAGACAACGACCTCTGCAAAAGTACATATTAACAAAGTAATTGTGGTACTCAATAAACCGACCGGAAAGTGATGAAGTATGAACATTAAAAACAGTATTCAGTTGAAAAAAAAATAAAATAAAAAAACATCTTACCGAAACGCTATATTATACTCTATTTGTCGAGAGAACGCAACTCGTTCGCACATTTTTACCACTTTTCAGCGCATTCGCTCTGTCGTCTTGAACTCTAATTATCCCATGCGGCTACTTATATGTGAACGATTGCGTTGAAAAGTGGTGAGAACACGCAAGAAAAAACGATTTTGGGTCAATTTTTTCGAACGACAGTTGTTGGAATACATAGTATGTAGTAAATATGTAGTACATACTTTTGTATCGCAGTCACATCAATATAAATCGTCGCTCATAGAGGATTGTTCCGAGTTTTACGTGACATACACTATGTGATTATACATTTTTATTTATTACTTTATAATAGCGTTGTGTGAATACACCTACCACGTGCTGTTGCGTATACGACACGACAAATGCGTCGATCACAGTTATACCGTAATATTATTATAATACTATTATCATCGTTCTTTATACTTACGCCCTTTATTTTTCATTTTCTTGACGTTGGCCACTTCTCGATGTCCGACGCAAAACGTGTTCGGGTTCTCGGTGTCATTTGGGAACTGCATGCACTCCCGATGCTCGTGGTGCGCCTCGAATATATCGAAGAAGAATCCGCAGCTCCGGATCGTTTCTGAGACGTAAACACCAAGCCGTTAGACGGAACGTAATGATTATTATAATTTATATTAACAATTTATTTATCATTAATAACTTATCGACAACATTATAGTATTATAGCTCTAGTGCACAATCGGATTATCGGCTGTAGGACTAAAAACGAACTGCTTTCGTCCCTGTATCTCATACTCGTCACAAATATTTTCTGCCACTTCGTAATCATACGCATTAGTATGTGCGAAGGAGTGCGGTTTTGGAAGAGAAGACGCGCCGAGTTATTGTATCACTTCAGCCATGATTTTTATCCCACCTAAAAACTTTTTGTTGGCTGAAACTCATTGTCAATAACAAAGTTGTTTTATCCAACAAGTCTGAAGCTCACTCAAAAAATGCATCTGCCAAAAAGCCCAATTTATTTTATGTCTAACTTTCTCTCATGATGCTTGGTGGTTGATATAAACTAGTTTATCTTTCTAATAAAATCACAATGATAAAAAAAAAAAAAATTAAAATAAATAATGATCAAGTTCATTGGATACGATATGAAATCGATAATAGGCATGAGGATCTTATAGTCTCATAGAACAGCTGTATTTAGTTTTAGAACTTTTCGTGATCCTCACGTTGTTGCCCTAGCGAATATCGACTTAGAAGCCCTACCGGATGAGATCCGGCATTCCCTAGCATTTACAGTACACTCTGGGCGTACACACATTGTTCACTTACCTTTACAGAGCGATTGGCAAGGCTTCACCTTCCGGTTCCCGCAGCCTTTGGATGCGAACAGAGCGCAAAAATATAGGGCCGTCAGCTCGTAGCACCGCACGTTGACCACAGACTCCAACGCTATCAGCTCTTTGTGATCCTTTTGAACCGAAAACAACGTACAAGTTATAGCCGTACCGCACGTTCGCTTCGATGTGCAATGTGCAATCCAAACGAAATCGAATTGAAAGTCAACATATTATTATTATTATTATTGCGTTTTCTATAACTATGTATCGTAACGCGGCGGTTTAATACAGGTCCGAGATTTGGTTAAAAAGTTATTGTTAAAAACTTTTTTGAAAAATGGATTGCAAATGTATACTTAACAGCGTGCAGTTTACAAAACGAAATGTGCGAATCATCATGACGTATGATGAACACGGTTCCATCGATTTTCTAGCGAAATCTCAACAAATCAATTAAATCAAAAGTTTCAAACTGGGAAGAGATGCTGATGCAGATTACCCGTGAGGCGTGATTCTGAATTTTTAAAAAATGGTCGATATGTATGTAAAACCAACACTAATGTAAAGGACAGCATTTTCATATCCCAAAGATATTGGGTCTATCATTATTACAGTTATGATTTTATTTGAACACATGTGCTTGGTTTTTTTTTTTTATTTATTATTTCAACAATAAATAATAGTACTTATAGCGAAATTTGGTAAGTTATTAACGAATTTCAAGTCCGAGGGATGGATATTGTAGCAGAAATGGCCTAGCCTCAATTCGTGATTCTGAATACGATTTTATAAAATACGTGTGCTGGTTGTACAAATAGTACAAATAGCATGTGCAAATTTTGAGGGATGTTATTGTGTACAAAATATTTGGGAAGAAAAAAAAATTGAATATCACGTTTTTGAGTATATATTTAGTATGACCTACGCAAATAAATCATTCTAAAGAAAGAAAAAAAGATTTTAACATTTTAAATCAACGCACAGCGAATCGTTTGCTTGTTTGCAGTCTATATGACATTATATTAAAGGATCACGTACGGTAATAGTTTGCAATAATAATATGTTCTCTTTCTAGTCGAATCCGAAAGCAATATTTAGTTATAATAATTACGTATTCTTTCTTGTAAGGTACAGTGTACAGGTACTGTGCTAAGGTGGATGTGACGTTTTGACAAAAAGACGGTAGGCAAGTGCCTGTGCGATAAATTTGTGGATTAGTGACAAAAAAAAATTAAAAAATTAAATAAAAAAATAACACTAATAACATACATAGCAATAAAAACGTGTAAGTGTATGCATAAGTGTGTGCGTGTGCTGTTAATAAAAGCAATAATTACGGCGATATTGGTAATATAATACACTAAAACAATTTATTGCATAAAAATAATAATAACATCGTGTATGATGTACGGTGAAATTTCGATTCGACATTTTCATGATCAATGTCAATCATTACCTGCTATCATCATGTCATTGGTCATTTGGTATTCGGTAGGAACGACACGTTCGTTAAGTTCGTCCACCTAAGTATTGCAATTTTTTTTAAATATGTTTAATTATTTTGTAAGATATTTTCAAGTGTTTGCCAGTCAAATTTTTTAAATTTCCAAGTCCAAAATTTCACCATGAAACTAAATAATTAAAAGTTTGACCAACTTCACGTAGCCCAACCAATTTGAACAAGACGTTTGCAATTAGTACCAAATGAAAGATAATGTTTAGAAATAATTTGCAAGTCATTCAGTTGGCCACTAGCTTTTGAAGTTGTACAGTTCTCATGATGTTTTAACCTGTGACTGTGAATTAGGTATCAATGAAAGCTAATGATTGCAGTAAGTATTTGCCGCCCACACTCTATAATATTCAAGTACGTTATATTAATTATTATATGATAGTTACCTTTTTTTTTTTCTAACATTATTATTAATAAAAAAAATAACTGAATCACTGTAACATTTAATTAATACTTCAGTGTTAAATGGCGATCTCTTATTAAAGCTTCAGCATCAATTTGTCAATTATAATTTTAAGGTTATTCTTTTTGTTTATATAAACTGCTAAACTGTTCAATCTTCCTTGGTGCGTTGTGACCCTTAAGTATGTCTTAAATCACCGTAGAGCTAAGAAACTTTATTTGGTACGGTATTTGTAGGAATACTTGAACAAATCTTTAATATATTTGAATAACACGAGAATCCTTTCTGAATATCTTTAGATTTTTTATAATTTATCTTTTTTTATAATTGAATTATATTCAATGTTTATAAACAATATATTTATAATTTTAATCGCACTTGATAAATCATTTGATTTTACTTTGTACGTATTACAAGTTTTTTCTACTGACTGATATATAGGACTGAAAATACATTATTTATAAAATTCAACAAACTTAAATAATTTTCTTTGAACTTAATATCGATATTCATTATTACTGTTTCTATAATTCAATAAAAAACATTGATAAGAAAATGTTTTTAAACAGTTTGTTTTTTTTCCACCACCTAATTTGAATAAAACTGATTTTATTTGTGATGGTTTTGTGATGTTAGACTCAATAAAGCCATTATTTTCTGAAACATCAGCAGCCTTATCCTATACTTTTTGAAAATTGTCATCTGTTCTTAATTCTTCAAAATTTTTTGTGGTCTCTTTGGCCATTTGTTTTAACAATTTTTGCTAATCCATTAGCTTTCGTTGATACCCATTTCACAGTTTTAGGTCAAACATCATGCCAACTTCACAACTTGAAAAGTTAGTCACCAAATGAATGACTTGCAAATTCTGAAAATAGATTTGCAAATTTCCGCTAACCAATAGCTTTCGTTTGTAATACATTTAAAGTTCTAGGTCAAAATTGGTGGGTCCCATGGAGTTGGATCAACATTCAATTTTTTGGTTTTACGGTGAAAGTTTGCAAAAACTTGCAATTAACTTGTGTGGTGACGTAAACAACGCACCGCGAATCGTCTAAATTGTTTACAATATTGTCAGTGAATAAGGGGAAATCCCATGTTCTAGAATAAGCGATGATCATCTCGTTAAGGTGATTTCGAGAATGTTCTAGACAATCGACGCCAATATATATACACCGGATGGTCAAACGCTCATTCAGTCAGTCCGTGAGTACAATCCGCGACACACCGTGAATTACACTCCGCGATATATTCGGCAATTCCTCCGCAATCGTAACGCGTATCGATATTTGTACATACATATTTATATAATATAGTGTCTATTTTAATTAAATTAAATTGTGAGTGATTTTTATTACTTTAATTCCACACTTGTAAAATTATGGTATAGATTTAAAAAAAATTGCAATACTTAGGTGGGCCAACTTCACGAACGTTGGAATGAATCAAGGTGATTTCAATAACGTAGATTCTATGATTTTGAAATTAAGTTTACCGTCCATACAAGTTAACACGTAAGTTATAAACTATGGTATTACGGGGAGATGAACTCTAATCTTCCGTTAATAAAGATTTCTAATTCTGTATTAGCACAAGAATGGGAAACAGCGGCGTCGAATAAATTTGAAACTGCCAGTTCAAATAGTTAAATTCACCCACCCACCCTTTCTAATTTACTATCTTTTCAAACATCCAAATATTTTTTCTGTGAATCTATAAATTAATACACCAATTTAAATAGAAAATATTTGCCAAGTATTATATAAAAATTAATTTGATTTTTTAAGGGTCATTTTTTATTTATTTTTAACATTCCAATTTTTTAAGCAGTTTAACTAAACTACTTATAGTACGTGTTTAGTGCCATCGACGAGAGGACTAGGGACAATACCTTTTGAGAGTAATAGTTAAGAATAATGTTTTCACAGAAATTCTCACTGATCCAAATAAATGAACTTTAGTTTGCAACTCATTTGGATATGGATATAAATAATTATATGATAATGTATTCGGTAAGGGTTTAAAATATTATCAAATGTAGTAAGCAATAGTTTTTTCTCCGAACAATATTTAAAAACTATTTGAATAATTCGTGGTTGGCAAGAAAAACGTAGTGAAACAATGTGTAAACTGGTAAAAATGTGCGTAGGTATGTATACTCAGTTTATCCGTGAATTTCAATGAATCTATATTTCTGACATCATTGTTAGATATTATGTATTATTAGATATCGAAACCCGAAATGAAAAGGGTCGTAAAGATTATTTAAAATTATGATTTTTCGTTAAAAAAAATAAAATCATCCAATGTTTTCGGAAATTAATTCTGATATAACTGAAAATAAATTGGTCGCTATTTTGCAAGTGCGGGAAAATTCAGAACTACCCTTCTACCATTGACTTATATATTCTTGTCACATATTTTATTATTTCAAAATAATTACATGTTTTCATATAATTATTATTATATCATATTTTAGCCACGTATAAAGTATTTAGCTATGTTCAAAAAAAAAAAAAGCCCGATACGTATTCAATGCAAAAAAAAAAGTATTTAAAATATCGTCGAAAATACTTCATGCTGAAAATATACAATAAAGTATTCATAACTTAAATTCTATTGCTCTTTACGTCAATAATACTAATAATGCACTCTTATTTTTGTCATGAATTATTAATAAAATTAGGAGTATTTTTTAAAATCACTAACAAAATGAGGACTCAAATTATGAATTAATAACATGTCAATCAACTGACAAAAATGTAAAACTTCGAATTTTCATGGATAGCAAAGATGATGCTTAAGGGTTTAGAAAGTTTGATGGCAGCAATCAGATTCTTAATGTTAAGATGAACAAGGGTAATAATTCGCCGGTCAGTACATATTTTTTTATTGATATTATTCTTAAGCATATAAACCTTACTAAATTGTTGATAAGGAAATATATATGTATGAATGTTTTGGAATAATAAAATGTAAGATGACGCAATGATGAACCAACCAACGGTAAAATAGTAATCCTGAATGTAAACATGTTTGCAAATTATACGTCCCAGTTGAAATGCAATATTTTTCTTTACATGTCGAACGACGACGGGGTCGTGTCAAACACGTGCACACGTGTGTTCGCATAAAATATTTTCGCAGACCATTGATTGAACCTTTACCCGCAGACGTACAACAATGGATGAGATATTGTAATATTATTTCAACTACAACGGTACGCGTACACGTGCCCACTGGCGGCGGCAGCGTCGAGCAAGTTGTCGAAACCCAAATCTTTTGTTTATCGACGTACGTAAATTGTCCGTTCCCAACACTTTAAATCGTCGAGAACAATATTCGCAGCGCCGGCATTGTCGTTTCAAACGTTCTGAGGATACAACGCCGTTGTTCTAGTTGTACTACGATTACTGTAATCGCCTAAGCGAATCGTAATAAACACTAACGTTACACCTACTACATGGCGGCGGGTGACGAATGTTACGCGAATTGGTACACGCATGTCGATCGACACGTACCGCAGAAAACGAATTTGTTCACACAGTCAGTAAGTAAAAATTATAATTTATGTGTATTGAAATTGTCTACGTGTGCCACATAAGTTCGTTACCCCTGTCATGGACCAACTCTCAGAAACCGATTTTACGGCCTCTGAGAACAAACTCGCGTAATTGTATACAATAATAATAATAATAATAATAATCAATAACTATAACTCACAGCATGCCAAGGACCGTTCCAGAGGGGTTTTCCGAAACGTTCGCTTATTTTCCACGCGATAACAATAATAGTACGCAGTCCGTACGCGTCTGCCACAGGTCTTATCGGATTCTGCTTACCGTTTTCAATCGATCCGGATCAACCAAAGGTGCGCGAGTAAATCTTGGTATTTTGCCGGTATAATAGCCATGAGCAAAGAAGCGTGGCACGTCACGCATTATGAGATTTATCGCGTCGTGTTAATTTTCGTTTTTCAATTTCTATCCGATTAACGCAGTTTTGAAAACGATTTGAAAAGGTTTCGTGGTTCTTAGGCCTTAGTGTATAGGTATCATCGACCCTTTCAAAACGTAGATAAATTTCCCCACCCCCAAGAGACTAAGCATGCACGTTTACATCCCTGTATGTACATTTCGGGTAGAGATATCTCGCTGAACAGTTTCGTTTGCGGGTTCGGAAAATGTTCGTCTAGACACCGGCACCCCGTGTACGCTTGCACATTTTCGCACGACCCAAACTACTGATATCGTAACATTATATAATAAGATTATATCTTCGGACAATACTTTGACCACCGATCAAATATTTGTGTATTGTATGTTATACAACCATCAAATGATAATCTTCGTAAGTTTTACACCAACGGCGCAAGTATTATAGAATTTTCGTTTTACAATTATCGTGAAAAAATTAAATATTTTATATATATATATATGTTACAGCTAAAGTCCAAAACATGTCTCAAGTGCTCATTATTCGGATATTGTGCACTCTAGCTACACTGGTTGGATAAAGCAAACAATTAACATTTAAAATCATAGTTTTGTACACATTACCCGGCTAAAGCAACTTTAGCCATCGTATTATAAGCTAATGCAAAATATTATTAATAAATTCATAATTATATTTTATTTCAATAAAATGAATTAATATAAGTTAACAATTAAATAATAATAAACTACATGATATTTCCTTTATAACCTGGTATTTTGAACATTAGCCACTGATTAATGATATACAAAATGGACAAAACCTGTTATTATATTATAATTATATTTTCAACGGTACTCTAAATGTAAGATATGAAATTACTTATGGTGCTATTTTCATGATGTGAAGGCCGTAAAAAGATAAGATGGGACTATCTATCAATACCATTTATGTTGCGGTAATTTATCATAATCGTTAGATCTTACTTATATGAACTGAAGTTAGTTAAAATTTAATTGTGTTCGGAGTAAAACGTTAACGTCTTAAGTATAGTGAATTCGAAAAACAATTTTTATGTGTGTTTTAATAAATTAATCACGAAAAAAAATAGAATTCGATTAATTTATCTCAAAAGAAATATTCTGAAATAATAATTGAAATTAAAACGCAAAATCAAACCAAAAAAAACAAGTAAAGATTACCGACGTTTAAAAAAATATGTAATAACTATTGAAGGGGATGACAAATTGATTTATTCTATAGATGGTGGTGATTCAACGATCTACTACTACGTTCAAAACAAAATTATGTACGATATTCTTCATGAAATCCATTATAATATAGGTCATGGGGCAAACACAGTATGATTGCTGAGACAAAGAAGAAATGTAAAAATATCACACAAGAAATTATATTAATCAACCATATCAAGCGATGTTTAGTAATGATATCAAAATTGGATTGTCAGCGTCTATTCTTCCACCAGAAGTTATAAACAATATATTATTAAAAGAAGACTTAGAAAATGTATGGCAAAATATTGAGAGAAAAAGTGAAGAAAGCAATTCTACCGGTCCGAATCAGGTAAATATAAGAAATAATAAATAATATATAAATTATAGTATTCATTGTATTGCTCACGTCCCTGGTGCTTAGGATGAAATCTGCCATCTACAACATAGTCACATGTGAGTATTGGTCGGTTTTAAGTGTCAAATTTACGTTCCGACTGATTGATGTAATGACATTAATTATTCAAAAGTTAAGGCGGTGATTAGTGAGAAAACTAAGATAATAAGTATATTATAATTAATATAATTGGTCCGATCTATAAATAATAATAATAATAATAATAATAATAATACAAATTTATAAATGGGCGTGACAAAAAAAAAAAATAAATAAATAAAAAAAAATGACAAAAAACCTGACCGAGAATCGAACCGAATCTTCTCTCGAATTTCTTAAGGAATACTTGCATGAAACAGAAAAAAGATGACGTGCCTCCTTATCTAACACAGTTCGAGGACTTCTACTGGTGGCATCCCAGTTAATGCATTTCATAGATCATCCATACATTTATATAGTATGCATTAACTGGGGGCGTCATCAGCATTAATTCGACACGTCATCTATGTTATACGGCGCCCGAACGAGACACCTCGGACGCACAGGTGTTTAACAATTTTTACTATTATTTAATGTAAAGTGTTTAGATTTAAATAGATAAAAATAATAAAAATAAAATAGATAAATATCTATTATTTTATTTAAATAAAAATCCTAGAGCTATCTCATAAATCTTAAGTTATTTACCATAATTAATCTGGGAATTTTTTTTTTCTTTTTACGATATTGAATCAAATCGTTGAACGTCGTAATTACTTAAGAACGAATACAACAAAAAGGTAAATAATTGACCCCGCACACGAATTCGTATGTTAACACTTGTTCACGGTGAAATTCACAAGTATATAGCGCTGGACGATGACAATGAATACAATATTCACAATAGTCGCTGCTGAAACAATGGGAACTATAACAAAATGGCAGTATAACTGCACAAAACGACACTTACCGTAAGACCAATACAAAATTGATTGAAAACGTGGTTTTACAAAAAAGGCTATAGACGGATGATGAATTCACAAACTTTGCATGTACACAATAGGCGCAACTAGGGGGTGCAATAGGGTTTTTAGCACCCCTGAGTTCAAATGTAGCACTTCTGTTCTTTTTTTTCAAATCTATATAATCGATAGTAATTACAATTAAATACCATTTTATTTTATTTTCAGAAATTTCAGCACCGCAATATTTGGGCTCTAGTTGCATTCATGATGTACACACGAATACGGACCAAACGAGAGAGAACGAGTCGATGTCGATAACATTTCCACGAAGACTATGGCCATCGGACACCGTAATGAAGATAATTGCCTCAGTGTCACTACCTTAAAATTAGTACACGCGAACTTATGAAGCTTTTTGACACTGAGAAGATAACTTTAACTTAGACTGAAACATAACTGAACTTATGAAAATACTGAATAACGAGCGCTATTTTTTGGACATTTTATTTTTTTATATTTTTTTTTTTTTGCGTACGATGGTAATAACGGCATACGCTATTGGCCGAACACCCACGGAGATAAATCGAAGATAATCCTAACCGATACTGCGATAAAGCAACACGCCAGAAGCGTCTAAATACAGTATTTAACCGCGATGATTCTACGCATGCGGGAGTTGTTATCATCAATATTTTGGTGTATAAGCAGCGTGTGATAGCACTACAATCCAATACACGCTTTTTCTAACCCATGTCTCAGATTTCTGAACTAAGACAAGAGTACAAAAAGCGAAAAAAGTACAAACTACGAACAGGAAATTATAGGCCCAGATCAAATGTTAGATTACACTTAGGCAAACTTAAGTTTTGCCGCCCCTTATATGTAAATTCTACACCAAATATTTTTTTTTTACCATATAGTGTTCTAGCTAAAATAATTGAATCTACAAATACATCGAATATTCCAAAAATTAAAGTAGGTAGTATAAAATACACATATATATATATATATATATATATATATATATAATTTAAATCTAAATATATTATATATTTAATTGATATATAATTAATATATATATATTGAATTTATTAATAATATTTTACATTAGCCATAATACGATGGCGTAAGTTACTTTAGCCGGGTAATGTGTACAAAACTACGATTTTAAATGTTAATTGTTTACTTTAGCCATGTTTTGGACTTTAGCTGTAACATGTATATATATTTACATACGTGATTAAGGTCCTTGAGTTATATATTTCAGTAACAATGAATTATTTTGAATTCGTGCAACGTAAAACGTTTATTTTGAAAATCGTTCTAATAAAAATAATTTTCTGTTTATGCGCACGGGTAAATAGATTCTTATTGACTGCTAAGAGTTCGGCTATAAGTATCCTGCAATTGTATTCTACAACTCAAGCACGATATTTAAGGTTTGGGTATTGTCTTACTTGCCCACCATGTGATCGTGACGTACCTATCAAAGAAATTCATGATATTACAAGTGTTAAAATTGATTTTTCTTTTTTTGTAACTCTTAAATCTTATTTACTATATATTCGATCTTAATATGATGCCAGTAATCGCGTTGAAGAACGTGTGTACATTAAAATTTTATGTACTTTCGTGTACAATGCGTTCGAAAAATCCAAACTACCAAATGAACATTATACATTATACGACTATGTGCGCGTATATATACTAAGCTTGTGCGCGCGTGTGTGTGTGTGTGTTTTTTCAATTACAAAATTGCATGCACATTCGAATGAATATAAATATATATAATATATATATATATATATATATATATATATAATGGAACATAAATAATATTTGTGCGTGTATATGTTCACGAGCACGTGCGCTCGCTGGCCCTTGAATCCCGTACTGCGTATGTATATATTATAACAATATATCCGATTCGTCGTACCTAGTATGTATAAATTGCTTTTGGGATGGTCTATGATGGAGTACATCGGATTGAAAACGGGAATGTCATATATTATCTCGTCGGCCGGAATGATTGGAACGTAATTTTTTTTCGTCGTCGTTGCGTCTGAAAAAAAAAAAAGACATTGATATTTTTTTTTTATATAATATGAAAGAATGTATACACAGATACTGCACTAAGCGCACGTTATATTATAATGTACATTTACATAAATATATATGTGCACACATGTATATATCACGTTGTGGGGGTGATATCGTAGAAAACCCGAACGACGTGTCTACGAAACGAATGCATAACACGCGCACAACGGTACTCGTATATATTATTTTCCATTCCGGGAAAAAACCGCAACAGATCTCAATGTACGCGGGTAGAGGATACGTCCATTGCGGATATATTACCGTTACGAGCGTAATATTTTTATACGTTTTCCGACTGTTAACTCGTCGTAAACACAATACATTTGTGTTTTCGACGACGAAACGAATCGTAAACCTTTTCTAGTTTCTTCTGTTTGAAAACAGAATTGATGAACAACCGATAAAATGGATTGTTTTTTTATTTGTATTTTGCTAACACTGAACCCACGTCTATTGATTTAAATATTTTACACATCTATAATGCTCATGCATAAATTTTTTGACCTAAACAAATTGTTGATTAACGTTTAAGTGAGTGTAAATGTGTGACGTGTGTGAGTGCCTATCCGATTTAATAATATAGTCACGGTGCATCATAATAAAATATAAATTAACGAGACTTAACGAAATCGTTCATTCTGCTATAGATCATTTATCATGGATCAGCATTCACCGTTTACGCGTGATTCGGACAAATCTGCAACGGAAAATGTCCTTATTTCACTTTAATGTCGTACCTACTTGTATTACAATAAATACCGCCGAGTCTGTGACTGTTACTTCTGTGTGCACTCTAGTTTCGGACTGGTAGACAAATTATTTTCACTCGCTGACTATTTTGACAGTATGATGATGCGTAATAATTTTCACGTTATCAAGTATAAGTTATAATACTATAAACCACCAGAATAACATTCATTCTTATTTCCAAACCAGGGAATAACTAATATAAACCGAACGGTGAAACCGAAAAGAATGATTTGTTGATGATTTAGATTTTGAGTGAAACGAGGAATGCATTGGTTTTATCATTTGTGTGTATGTGTTTGTGTATTTTATGTCTATGTACACAATTTCGATTGGAAAGATTGTTCCGAGCATCACAATAATAACAGATTTCTGATAAGGAATATTTTTTAGTTGATACATTGAAAGATGTAATTTCACGATTCATCCTATAAATTATTCAATAATTACAAAAAAAAAAAAAAAAACTGAGGAATAGCTAATAAAACAGCTAAATTTACGGTATATCGGTATTAAATAAATTTTAAATATAATTTTGTGAAAAAAAAATTGTACTGAGATGATATTTAACGTGTTTTAAATACTCATTACAAACTATCAGTTTAAGTAATTTACTTTAAAAGTATATCTGGGCACTTTTTAATTTATTAATTTTTAAAAAAGAGTCGTTTTTTTTCGAACTTCTCAAAAATCTTTACCGTCAGGTTATTGCAACGGGTAAACATTGTAATCAATCAAAATCGTCGCTTCTATAAGGGCATCGATAACTTAAATCGCCGACGTTTATTGAAAATTTCGTGATACAGGATTTAAACATCAGGGGTACAAATTTAACGTTAAAAATATAAAAGTTGATGCTTACGGGACGTTTTTGGTGGTCAAATCGGTTTTAATAACGTATGAATTAGAAAAACTGATTTTTTTTTCATACACTTTTTCGAACAACCCAGATAAATGTAATGCAACGACTAAGCCCGGCGATAGGGAGTGTAATACTACCCCACCTACGAACGACTTATTTCTATTACCGAGAACCGTCAGCGATTTAAGTGATATTAGTGTTGTAGACCTTCTATTTTAGAAAATGGTCCTGTTTACAACAAACAGTGATAAACAATAATTATAATGGTATTGTCTCTTCACCGGATAGTTTGGCAGACAGGTCAGTGGTGTTGGTATTCGTTGTGGCGGGATGCCGGGACGAATGGTTAAAGTCGTCCGCGGCCACGGTGGATGTCTTGAACAGGCTGCCATTCGCGTGGTTGGCCGTGGCCGCGGCGTTTGGGTTCCGCACCACTGTGGACGCCGTTTTGCTTTGTCCACCGCTACTGTCCGGCAAACCGACTAGAAACGTAACGACATTTTTTTAATTCATTATCCAATCGATACAATTTTTATGATAATTATTTACTATCAATATCCTTTTCGTGTACCCTTGTTTTAAAACAATTTTCACTTGTAACACATGTTATTCTCGGTATAACAAACCGCGTCACGTCACATAACGCATTATAACCGTTTTATTTTCATTTTCAGCGAATAAAAGTTTATAAATTCAACAATCCGAAAAATCAGTCAACAATGAAAATACGATGCTGCCGAACAAGAATAAGACGTCGTAACGCTATATAAATCAGCTATTTGTTGCAGCAGTCGCAACTTGTTAAAAGCTCTGCATCAAGAAAACGATGAGGCATTAGCAAGATGAGATAATAGGATGTCGACAATGATTTATTTATTTATTTATTTATATTAATTTTTATCTGACCACTAGGCAAACGACTGAAAGACTCTAGAAATACTGTGCAGTGGGTCTAGAATCGGAACAGATCGGACGGTCGGGGAACCGGGTAAAAATATCGAAATTGGTCCAAGTTGAAGCATTCGTGTTGAACTCAAATATAGTTTAAATACAAATCGTAAAGCGGTAAAAAAAAAGTTCCTCAAATTCACCGTAACTCCTTGGGAACGAGCAAGAGCCAAATGACAAATGGATGACACCGCGTTACTATGGTACGCCACGTTAGGTTAGTGACACATAGATCTTACAATACGTTTTCATAAAACATTATAACATCTATGTCGAATCACTATGACGAATGATGCGAAAATTAGTGTCAATGGCGACTTTATTTGCTCATAACCAGATTTAAACTCGTGATATCAACCTGTTGTTACATCGAGTGATATGCTGCCATTACTTGTATAAATGGTAAAACAATTAAATATATTATCGACAAGTAAAGCTCTACAATTTTGCACGGGCCGGCAGTACAGTGTGGGAACAGTAACGAAATGCCCAAGTGTAGACGGACGAGGATGGGTATAGTTTGAAATCTAGGACTTACCGATTACTTTTTCTTTACGTCTAGGTTTATAAAGCTTAGTTATTGTATGTGTTTTCCTTTAGATTCGAACACTCTATTTGCTTATACAAAAAACTATAACATAAGAAGAAGAAATATTAAAAAAAACCGATAGAAATGTGCTTCAATTTGTTGTATCTTCAATGTTTAAATATAAAATTTTTTTTTCAAAGTATAAGAATGGGTCACAAACATGAAATCGATGCACACACAGGAAATTTGATTCTTCAAATAATAATAAAAACAATTGGAGCATACGAGATACATACATAAAAAAACGTGACCTTTTGGCACCCACCAACAATAAAAACATTTAAATAACGTCCCTGTGAGCCGATGATTTGTTCAGGTCTGATATGAATTTAAAATCTCAGTGGGTGGAAAATATAAATCCGGTGCTTTCATTGACCATTAATATTACAACTTTCAAAACATCGAACACTGGTTGTTTAAATTGTTTTAATCTTACGCTCGAGGCGTATGCATTACTCACCACTTATCATACTTAAAGACTTTTGTAGAAACATTAAGAGTATAACATCACCTAAATAATAATATTAAATCGCACACAACTCAGCAGTGAATTTGACGCGGAAAAAATATCATACCTTGAACATCTCTTGTTTTGAAATTGTTTTAAACAAGCGTATTTTCTATAAAACAGCGTGATTAGCTACGTCTTAACGACATGCTCGATAATATTTACAGATTTGACATAACGTCGCATAGAAACTGGGAGTCTTCTTTTAAAAGATGAGGGTACTAAACGATCCCCTAGAACCACTTCTCCTCTGTGTTTTTCTGTACTAAGTATGTTCAAATGGACGATATTTTGTGAACTGCAGATTTGCCTTATGCGGTCGGAATGTTTTATTGATTTTCGCGTTCATTCAGTCGAGCAGGATCACATTATAATAATGATAAACCGGTCGGTCTGGTAAGGATAAGAATATTTATTATTTTCCCGAATGCGAGGTTCAGTTTATAATAACATACTGCGCGGGTTAGTTTTTAGTCTTTTTTTTTTTACATTTATTAGAATATATACGATCTGTAATAATAAATAAAATAAGAATATGAGCGTTTAGATATTTTATAAAGACATGATGGTATGAGGAGAGAAAATATTCAGCGGTACACTTTGACGCGATAGAGATTTTATAGACTATGTATTATCTACAGTTAATACTATACATAATCTATATATGTTTTTTTTTTTTTTTAACTGATTAATTGTACAGAGCTAAGTCACGACATCAGCGTCTCTTTAGCCTTCTCAGTGAGTTTATAAGAATATTTATTAAGTTGAGAGAAAGGATAAGTGGACTCGGATGTTTTACAAGGCGAAAACGGAAGCGCTTGTAAAAGAAAGCGACAGTCTGTATATTAAGATCAGAGTTTTGTGTATGATTCGTTACGTAGAAGGATGCATTAGTTATTTCTCGGAGTGATATGGATTGGAAAGTCTGTATTTTGTTAATGTTTGATTTTTTTACCGCTTTATAAAATCTTTATATTGATTCGTTTTTTGGTCTTGTTTTATTAAATAACGGTATGCCGAATCGAAAAAATATTATGACCGGTCAACTCACAACAATTACCACTAGGACATAAATAAAATGTTTGCACCCCTGTGTTTGATCGGAAAAAAGTTGAAAATCATTGGCGTGGAAATTTCATCATATACGGTCATTATTACATCAAACGGTCCGGGGTTTTCGTTATAATATAGAAAGTTAATATTAAAACATGAACAATACCTTGTCCCGGATTTCATCGGGATCTTTTCGAATTATAATTACTGTTGTATTTTAAACAGGTACCTCTGATCGTAACAATAACAATATCATAGTATTTCCGTCGTTTACGCATGATTCCCGTCACACATTTAGCGGGTACGCATCGCAATACAACCGTCCGACCGCGCTGCATTATGTTATCATGACAATTACAAAGTAGATATAGGTATTAATCTATTAGTCAGGGCTTGAAATCGAAATAAAAAATTTAATTTTAATTTCAATTTTGATTATTGATATTAGTTTTTTTAATTTCGATTTTGGTTTCAAATTTTGATATTTATTTTTTGCAATTTCGTTTTTTATTTCGAATACCGATATTCATTTTTTTTAATTTCGGTTTCAGAAATCAGTATTTTTTTTTTTTCGATTTCGGGTTTACTACAGAATGCTATTCATGGGATATAATAATTTCTCAAACTTTAGTACATCATCAGCATAATAGTGTTGTAGGCTGTAGTGACTGCAAAAGTACAAAATAAAACTATTTTAGGTTATTTAATTGTATATCATTGGTTAAAAGTATAACTCACGGGTAACAGCCAATGGAATATTATAAATTTATATCTTATCCATAATAGTACACTACAAAATATTTTTATATAGTATATTATACGGAATAAATTGTATGTATAAAAAAAAACAATCGCTTGTCGAACGCTGATTCCTTATCGTAAATATTCTAAGAAAACAAAATAGGTACTAGTTATTTATTATTATGAATAATCAATATTATTACCAAATATAGCAATGTCTATGAATTGACAATATAAATAGACCTGTTAGCTGTTGAATTTTAAATTAATTTGATTTAAAATCGTTTTAATTATTAAAATGGTTAAAATGGTTTTGATTTTGATATAAAATATCGATTTTAACTTTTTTTAATTTCAATATAAATTTTTCAAATCATTACAAACCATTAACAATTTTGATATTGATTTTGATTTTCTAAAAGATTTTTAATTATTTTTAACGATATTTGAAATCGATTTTAAGCTTTGCTATTGGTATTATTATTAATAAGGCGTACCTCTCACGACGAAGATCAACAGTACCGTGATGAATATCAAAATAGCAGCGTTGTACAACACCTGTCGTCTTTGCAGCCGAATGAATACTTCGGTCACGTCGATGGCCTCGGTTCCCATCACCTGCGGAAAGATTTAAGCATCATGTATTCCATTTGACACATACTTCATCACCTTTGTTTATAACTGTTCGTACCACACATTTTTTCGAGAACATAATAAGACGATGCTATGACGTACAGAGAGATTAATCCTCTTTTTATCACCTTCTTTATTCATTACATAACTAACATTATTTTAGTCATAATAGGAGTTATCTACTCATTGTTTAAAAATATATATATATATATATATATTATATAGAAAATACAAACAAATTTATAGGAAGATGTTTTTATTTGAAATTGAATACTTGAAAAAATTGAGAATCGATGGCGTTCATTCTTCATCGTCTATACGAATAAAATATTTGATGTCCATATGAGATAGTATTGTAATTCAATAATATTTAACAATAATATATTACGTTGTTATTTCGGATCTGCTGCTGTTCGAAATAGCGACGTATTAAAATTAAAAACTTGCGAGACGACATATATGTACATTTAAATTTCTCGAGTGAATAATAATAATAATAATAATAATAAAAAAACGAAACTCTTAGGTCTAGTGAAATACGGGGATAGACATGGATGAAATTATGTATTGGCCTTTTAAACTTGGAACCAATAAAACAATGCTCTCGAAAAAACTATTCTAAATGAAAGGGGGCGGATGGATCAGTTTATATTTCTAAAGATAGTTTTTATAGTAGGATAACCATAGTTCTTAATAAGATAAATTGAACTTTAATTATTCAAACTTTGACGAAAAAAAAATTAAAAATTTAAGAAAGTCGAATATGTAGTATGCATCTTGATTGCGTATGGACCTTAATCACTAATGAATACAATCTTATATCACCAATTGAACATTTCAAGTGTCTACAAACAGTACAAATGTCATTAAAATATTTCTAAACTAACAACTTGATAAATAACTATTATTGTTTAATCGAAATATTTGACATTTTCATTTTTTCCAAAATGTCATTTTGTCATACTTATAAAACATCTTTGAAACTTCCCAGTATTATTTTTATTTTTTATTTTTTTGTTACCAAGAAAATTCATACAAAAAATCATGAATTCAATAATTGAATAAAAATAATATAATATAATATAATTATTATATTAACGTCTTATTAAAAAAATAACTTCCAAAAGTACCAACCAGAATTCATTTTATGAATTTTACTATTTATATGGACACAATCCGAGCAATCGTTCTGGTCGAAATTATGTATAGGGATACAAAAAAAAAAAAAAAAAAAAAATCAAAAATCTACATCACAGTAAATCCATTTAAATTCCACGTTTTTCAGATTCTAAAACCATAGCCGATCTGTCGATGAACATCACGTGTATAAACGACCGTTAAACAATAATCACGTGTGTTTTATTGGGCTGTGTAAAGCATTTTCCATGCACTAACGGCTTATACGATATATATTTTATGAGCTCTGATATATTTTTTGTAATGATGTAACGAACATTAGCCGTAAATCTGTTAGTTTCGATACGAATATGTATTTAGCATACCATCAAAAATCTACCTCTATTATTTCCTACATTGATGTTAAATTTCTGTAACGTTTGACAAATTCACGCGGTTTGTGATGGAAATCTATATAATAATGTATAATAATGGTAAATTATTCCCAAATTTTTTTTTCTATTAATTCAATATTATGTAGTCTTCTAGTTTATCTTCTAAAGACTCTCTTAAAAAAAAAAAATTATAAGACTTTAAAAGACTGTCGTTCAAGACACTTTATAATTATCTTGTATAAGTTACGAGACTACACTTAATCTTTTTACCCCACACGGTTTACGATTCTGTACAGGGACGATGCATGCAATTTAATACGAAACCAAACACAATAAATCATTATTATAATTTTCTAATCTTTTTTGACAGCTTATTATAAATAAAAAATTATTAAGTATAAATATAGAAATTATAGAGTGTAGAAAAGAGTTATTATAAAAAACGATTATACTTTAAACATAATTAATGCCATTGAATTCTCGATTTTGAACCTGTTACATAGTTTTTTTTTTTAATACCTTTGCTCATATATTTGCTGTGTAACGAAAATAATACTTTTAAACCCGTTGGTATAAGTGTACAATACCATTTAAAAAAGGATATATTATGTCATAATGTTGCAGTATTTAAAACTTTTTATTAGGTAGGTGCTTAAAGAATACTTTTGTGTTTGACTTTATTACTTGTATGATAGTTATATTATTATGTGGTCACAAAAAAAAAAAAAAAATATATGTAAAAACGATAAAAGTATATTTAGAATTGTTATGTTTTGTTCGAATTTTGCATGTGTTGTTATTTGTACTATAATACCGGTATGTAATAAAAAATAAAAATTATTATCAAATGTTATGATGGTATAAAATATTCAAAATTAGCAACATATTATATTGAACCTAAATTAAAAATATATACAAATTATCGTGTCCATACAATAGTATACTGGGAAAAAAAAAACTAAGCAACCAAATGATATTCATCAAAATTGATAATACTTATTATTTATTTATACCCATAATTATTATCCATATACGTGTTGGTCTGAACATCATCATCGAAGTTGTTTAAATATTACGGAAATTAATTAATTCGTACGACCATGATAATGAAGTAAAATAAAATAAAAAGGGTGGACCGAGAAGACGTTTCACCGGACTACCAACCACTGACGATATTTGAAATTTCTCGCCGCCACCGTTCGTTTGTGTGAATATCCGTATGACAGGTTTCAACGCTTAATTTTTTGACATATCCTTGGGTGACCTGTATATCTGTACGCGTGGTCCACTACGCGGGCTTGTGTTATGAAATACACCGTTATAGCTCTAGGTGGCGATCGAATTTCAAACTGTTGTACTATTTTTTAGCATCGCGTTCTGTGCACACACGACGACGACGACGACGACGACGATGAAGATGAAATTTAATTAAAACGTTAATCACACCCCCCCCGTAGAGTATGTATTATTTTCCAGTTGAAATTTCCAGTCGGAAAGGATATGTGGTTCGTGCGGAAAATGAAGTGTTATACAAATACGAAGTGATGGAAAAAAAAATTAAAAACAACGACGGTAACTTTAACTGTCGGTGGTACGGTTTAGGGGGTTAGAAGTCGTAATGCCATAAGTTTTAATCCTGCCAAAGTGCACTCCAAACATTATCATTAAGTATTATTATTATCACTATACACGTGTAATCTGATTAGAGGCCCGTGTGAAGTGCACGCACACAAGCCTGGATTAAGAGAGTGGGCAAGTCTCTCTAGGACCACATGTGTAAAGGACCCATAGCTTTCTCGGATTAAAATCACATTGAGTGATGATTTGTACTTTTTACAATAAGTACAAATACTCTAAATGTTAGTCATAGTATTGTACCACCAGAAAAGTGATATACGTGCACATTGCACACGGACAATAATCATACCTCATTATAAGCGTCATAACCGAGTATTTTGAACGAGTTACTTTTTTTTGAAAAGAAAAAAGTAAACCAAAAGAAAAAAAACTGCTAGATAAACAATGGCCAATAAATCATTAGTAATCATAGGGACTTAATACGCGTCAACCCTGGATAAAAATTTTATTTATGTTCCACCAAATCAACTATTTTTAACTCGCATAGTTTTGCATATTTTATAATTTTACATTTTAAACGCATATTTTTGGGATTTAAGAATACAAATAAATTTTTCGGTCCATTTTTCAACGTTTTTAAAAAAAATTAAGATTAACGGGTGGATAAACAATAAATGATCGACTCGTATTTCTTTGACCTCAGTATTTTTAGATTCAAGTTTGATTAAATTAAGAAAAACCATTGTACCATAGTGTCATATATCAAATTAGTATATAATGTAAAAAAATATTAAATTTAAAAATAACAACTAATAAAAAGATAAAATACATTTTACTTTGCATGATTTGATGTTCTTTTTTTTGGCTAAAATGTATGTTGTTTTTTTTTTTTGTACATACTTTGGTTAAAAATTTAGTAATTAGTTAATATGTCAATGTTACAGTCATTTTAAATGCATAATTATCTGAGCCCTAGCGATAACACTTCAAATATACCGAATACAACTCCTGTATGTTTCAACTTAATATAAAAAAAGTTACAACTTTACGATTCGCTTAATATTGGCGAAACTACTATGTGTGATAAATCTTGGTCGAATAATTATCGTTAACGTGATATTATAAAAGATTTGGTGCACGTTTTATCTAGTCAAGGGACTTATGCGGAATATCCGCGTAACTTCGCCGTGCACATTTATATAGATTAATCGTCATATGTGAACACGATCGTCATCATAATTAATAAATAATACAGTTTCCGCTGCGTCGTCGCCGTCCCCGTACGAAATGTCCGAACGATTAATTAACCAGAGCGAATGTTTCGAAAAACTCTGGTCCATTTCAACTTTTCTACAATGTACAAGCTTTCAATTGCATTTCTTACTAATTATTACGGTTCGTTCGGGCGTTTTTATCATTATTTACGGTGAATTTCTACGTTTCATTACGACGTTTATAATTATACATGTTGCTATCAGATGTCAGTTCCTTTTTCGACTCTCTATGGTTCTATACGGCTGTAATACTTATACGTCATTGATAACCAAAGACTATTCCACATGAATAGACTTCCATCTCAACGTTACTACATAAGTAGACGTAGCGAGCTTTCAATTGTAAGTCTTCAGCTTCAAACGTAGTTTATTTATACTCGTAGTTATGTAAAGTAGATGGCTTATATTTTATTTAATGACAATTCCTGGACATCGGAATAACATAAAAACAATTTTAACTCTTACATTTGTCAGTGATAATTTACCATTTATTTAAATTTACACTAAAATGATGCATATGTTGTCTTCATTACTATGTTTATTTTAAACATGTTTCAAACATTATTTTAACTAAAACAATCATTTTTATAGGAACTAAAGTAGCTATATTATTATACTGGTT